AATAAATAGAGACTGAATAGGAAAGCCTAAAATAAAGAATAAATAGGAAAGCCTAAAATAGAGAATAAATAGGAAAACCTAAAATTAATCAGGCTCCACTACCTAACACAAAATAAAGCAGCAGACATTTTGGCAAATGAGGGGACGAAGGTAGCATTTTTTGATGAATCAAGTTTTTTTTTCAGTACAAAAGAACTTCAAATTGCTAACAGATTTTACTAACAACTTTAGTTGGTTAGTATTCAACGAACAAATTACCAACACATTTCTATCCGAATAATTTAAAAACTTAACAACGAAATTCTAACATATTACCAATATAAATTTTAGTAAATAAGTATTTTAGTTGGTAAATACAGCGGGAAAAATGACACTAAATTTAGCAACCTTTGATCAATGGATTACCAACAGATATATTACTAACGCGCACCTTTTGTTGGTAATATTACCAACGAAGTATATATCGGTTGGTAAATATAACAAAAAATTGTTTATATAATTTATTAACATATTACAGATAAATTGCTAACCAAAATTTACCAACGATAAAATTGTATTGCTAAATTTACCAGTCAAATATAAATTTGTTGGTAATAGTAACGAAATGTAATTTTTGATAAACTTGCCAACCAATATCTAATTAGTTGGAAATAGTTGGTAATATACCATCTGATCACTAATCCATTGGTAAAATTTACCAACATATTAACTATTAATTGGTAATATTACATATGAATGTTTAGTTGAATAGTAACTTTTACTAACTCTGATAAAATTTATTGGTAAATTACTAATTACTAACTTATATTTTAATAGTTGGTAAATTTAGCAATTGAAGTTAAATTTTTTGATAAATCCGCGTCTAGTATTGAGACTTTCATATTTAGTTTGTGTCATTTAGAATTTTAACTTTTAACTTTTATTTAAAACTTGACTTGTTCAATATACTTGGTAAACATCATTACAACATTTTAGGCCTACGACAACACTCAATCTGGACTACATTTGTAAAGTGTTGCCTAAAATATTTTTGGCTACACTTTTAAAGTGTAGCCAAAGTTTTTTACTTTTAGCTAAAAATAATATTGGCAACACTTCAAAAGTGTACTCTTTAATGGCGACACCTATTTATAGATATGACCACACTTCTAAAATGTCATATTTTTATAATTGAAAAAACAACACCTTATAAGTGTTGGCGTAAAATTTTTCACTAAAATATTGTATTCCCTCCAATATTTTTAGCTCTCCCTCCCATTTTTATTGGCCGAAAAAATAAACATTAATAAAATAATAAAACAAAACTCCCATGTTACCCCTAGTTTAACATCAAAACAACTCTCCCCTTCTGCTGAGAACGAACTGAAGAGCTGAGAACGAAGTGAAGAGCTGCGAACGAATGAACAAAGTGAAGAGCTGAGAAGGAATTAGCTGAGAACACTCCTTCTGTTCTGCGATTTGTGAGAAATAGCTGGTAAAGAGAAGTGAAGCGTTGAAGTCAAAGAAGAACTGAGCTGAATAGTTGAAGATTTGAAGTCACTGATAGTTCAAGTCATCTCTTTGATAACGATTTCTTGAAGAGTAAGTTTGATTGTCTTTTCCGATGCCTATTTCGTTTTGTGAAGTCACTAATAGTTCAATCTTTTTTGTTTTGTGTTTTGTGAAGAACTGGTTGTTTACAAGATGATGAAATGAAGTTAAATAGTCTCTCTCACGCTTTTCTCTCCAATTTCTATGAACTTTTATTTTGAAAGTCTAAATTTTAGCTTTAGGGTTTGAATTCTTGTGTTCTTGTACGATTTTTGGGAGTATGGCTAGTATTATAGCTTCATTAGTTGATTTTTGGGAGTGTAGCTTATATTCTTGTGTTCTTATCTCATTCTTGTGTTTTTTTCACTGTTGCTGGTTGGAAAAAGGTTGGTATTTGATTGAGAAAAACGTTTAGAGGAGCTGAAAAAAATAGTTAATATATATATATATATATATATAGAGAGAGAGAGAGAGAGAGAGAGAGAAACATATATATGTAGAAACATATTCAAGGAAAGAAGAGTTCAATGTCGATAACATATCACATTTTCGAATTTGTTTCGCAGATCAATTTTTCAAGGTTTGTTCGAGTTCGAGATTCTGCCCGAAATTCTCATGTTTCGTTAGTGTTCGAGTTTCGTGCTGAAGATCGTTTCCTTGCTCCTCTCTTTCCAGTTCAGTGGCCGCAAAAAGGTAATGTCGTTTTCCTCATAGTACTCTTTTCGCCTCTCTTTCTATTTTAAGAGTGATATTGTGAATGTTTGATGTAATATCGCTTTAATGATTCGAGAGTTTGTATTCATTGTTGTTATTCCCCTATTTGTCATTCAAAGTTTTGTTCTGTTGTTTCTCTTCTCGATCTTTCTCTTGAATTGTCCCTTAACTTGGCTCAAGCAAATTAGTTTATGGTCATGCATTGGAGGTAGCTCTAGGCATCTTGATTGGTATTTTGTTTCTTTTTCTACTTATAGAGTAATTTGATGATATTAGAGTAATCTGAAGTAGTGTGTATACTTAAAGTTTAGTCAACAGAAATTAGTTTAGGGTCGGCAATTTGATTGTTCATATAATGTTGGTCCAACTTCGGGTGCACACATATTGGTTTGACTATTGCAACTGTAACACTAGAGTGTGCTTCTCTCCTGTATCTACACCATTGTAAGTTTAACCACTAAATAGGTGGATAATATTCTTCAATTTGATTTTGATCTTTCTTGAAATTAATATAGACTTAATATAGACTTAGATGACTTAATACTAGAAATTAATATAGACTTGGATGACTAAACAATAGAAGGTTACATGTACATATTCCTTTAAGAGAGAGCCACTGGGATTTACAATCCATGATATAAGACTTTAGATCACAAATATGCACATTACAGTGCTGAGGCCAATTAAAGGATAGGTGGTTCATTGAAAACAGTGTGTGAAGAAGAAATAAAGAAATGTTTCAGATAATAAGAGTTGACTCTGGTATTATTATATTATTTCTGTTTTCATTGAAAACAATGTTTCTTTTTATTTGATTTATTTTTGAGTTGATGTTGATTGAATATGAGATATGTTTCTTAATTAGTTACTTTCGCGGGTTTGATGTAATATCACTTTACAGATTTGAGAATTTATTTTTTTAGTTGTTATTCCCCTACTTGTCTTTCAAAGTTTTATTTTGTTGTTTCTCCTCCTGATCTTGCACTTGGAAGTTTGAAGTACTGTCCTAAAAAATCTAGTATATGCATTTCATTAAAAGTAGACTCACTCATTAGATGAACAGTTCACATGAATCTAGAGAGCATGAAATTGTTAGATGAACAATTCATATGAGTCTTAACAGTACACTAAGTTTTAGATTTTCTAAGCAATTTGTGAATGAGTATGAAATTGGGGAGGAAGTGGATTAACGTCAATTTGGGTATGCTTACTCAGTATTAAGTTCTCCAGTTTGTATGCAGTGATATACTCAGCAGTTAGCCTGCAATGCACTCCGATCTCACTCTTTCTGTCTGTCAATTCCTCTGCTCTACCAGCAATAGAAATTTTGCATTTTCAGCACTATCTACTAGTTTGATAGGATAATTTGTTAATTTTATATCTTTCTTAATTATGTTTATCCTATTAATTTTACTTATTTTTCCTTGGCAGTATAATCAAAAAACATCTATGGAGGATTCAATGTTTGATTTCAACTAAAACAAGTACCACCACTAGGTAAGAAATTTTTATCATCTCATAAATCCTTATAACTTACTCATGAACTTTAAAATTTATTTCTGAAGTAGTAAATGATTTAATGATTGTCACTGTAAGATGAAATATTGATAACTTCTTCTAGGAATTCAAATATCCCATCCAAGGATTGGATGGAGTTAGCAAGGTATAACGAAGAGTATATTGATGGTGTTGAATCAATCCTAGATTTTGCTTACTTTCATGGAGATCCTCAAGGGTAGGAGATTCAGGGCCCACGTGCAAAATGTTGTAATATTCGTTGGACTCGAAGGAATGTAGTGTATGATCATCTTATAACCTATGATTTGTTAAAGGCTATATTAGATGGATCAATCATGGGGAATGAGATATCAATTTTAATGCTGACGATGATATAGATTGCTCGCGTAATGATATTGATGGGTTGTTGAATGATCAATTTAGAGATGTTGCACAGGCTCAAGGAGTTTATGATGCTCCTAATGAAGATGACAAGAAATTGTATAACTTAGTTGATGAGGCAAGCCAAGAATTATATATTGGTTGTACTACATGATTCTCTAAATTATCATTCACACTTCATTTATATTTGTTGAAGTGTCTACATGGATGGAGCAATGATTCATTCTCTTCTCTTTTAGAAATTCCCGAGTTGAATATTTCTCCATCTTATAATAAAACCAAATCTATGGTTAAAAATCTTGGTCTTGATTATGAGAAATTTGATGCATGTCCCAATGACTGCATGTTGTTCAGGAATGATCATAAGGATGATGAATTTTGTCATACTTGTGGAGCTTCACGATGTATTAATTCTCCTGAAGTTGATAGTGAGCTTGAGCCTTCAAAAAAATAACATCGAGTTTTAGCAAAGACTTCGAGACATTTTCCATTAATTCCTAGACTCAAAAGGCTATATATGTGCTCAAAGATGGCAGATTCTTTGAGGTGGCATGAGGAGAAGCATTCCAAAGATGGAAAGTTAAGGCATCAAGCTGATGGCCTAGCATGGAAAGATTTTGATAGGTTGCATCCAAATTTTGCACTAGATTGTCGCAATGTGAGACTTGGTTTGTCGAGTGATGGGTTCAATCCATTTCGAACCATGAGTATATCACATAACACATGGCCAGTTATGTTGATGGTGTATAATTTGCCGCCTTGGATGTGCATGAAATCTGAATATTCTATACTTTCTTTACTTATACCTGGGCCACGAACACCTGGAAATGACATTGATATTTACTTACAACCATTGATAGATGAGTTAAAATTATTGTGGGATTTTGGGGTTGAAACATATGATGCTTCAAGAAATCAAACTTTTCAAATGCGGGCAGCTCTTATGTGGACTATCAATGACTTTCCTGCATATGCTATGTTATCTGGTTGGAGTACAAAAGGAAAGTTTGCTTGCCCTTGTTGAAAGTATGACACTAATTCTCGCTATCTTAAACATAGTCGGAAAATGTGTTATATGGATCATCGTGTTTTTCTACCCATGGATCATTCATGGAGATCAAACAAAAGATCTTTCAATGGTAAAACTGAATTCAGGCCTCCTCCACCCTTTTAAAAGGAAACTGATGTGCTTAATAACTTACAGAATGTTGAAAATGTGTTTGGAAAGAAGAGAAAGAAATCAAATGATGGTCCATGGAAAGAAAGTCAATTTTTTTGAATTACCTTATTGAAAGCATAATTTGTTACGTCATAACCTTGATGTAATGCACATAAAGAAAAACATAGTTGATAGCATACTTGGAACTCTTTTGGATATTTCTGGCAAAACAAAGGATCATGCAAAAGCCTGATATGATTTGAAATATATGGAATCTGAAAGAACCTTCATCCAAAAGATACTGACGACATTAAGAGAACAAAGTTTTCAAAATCGTGCTTCTCAATGACAAATGGAGAGAAATCAATTTTTTGTGGAGTTTTAAAGACAACCAAGCTACCTGATGGTAGTGCCTCCAATATATCTAGGTGTGAGCACATGGAAGAAATAAAATTGTCTAATTACAAAACTCATGATGCTCATTTCGTGTTACATTACTTGCTTCCAATACCAATGAAGAACATTCTTCCTGGTCATGTGTTTATTCCTTTGATTCGTCTTAGTTCCTTCTTCCATCGTTTGTGTCAAAAAGTAATCACATTGGAGGAACTGGATTGCTTAGAAGTGGAGATCATAGAAACAATAAATCAGTTGAAACAAATTTTTCCTCATTCATTTTTTGATATAATGATTCATTTGCCTATTCATTTGGCAAATGAAGTGAGATTAGGAGGTCCTGTTCACAATCGATGGATGTTTCCACCGAAATATAAATGGGTACATTTAAATCATACATCCGCAACAGACGTTATCTAGAAGGTTGCATAGCAGAGACACGAGAGAGAATAAATTGTTTGAATTTATTCTCTAAATATATGCATAGGGGTGTGCATACCAGATTTAACAAAAGATCCCGAAATAATGATGAATGTGACTCAAATGATGTAGAAACTTTGAGTTTGTTTCCTAACAAAAGAGTTCCTTTAAGAGCAAAGAAGACTAATCTAATAATTTTAGATGACAAGTCACTAAGTCAGGCACATGCATACTTATTGTGAAATTGTGACGAGGTTTAAGAATATATTGGGTACCTTAATTTGAATATAGTATTCTTTTTGTATAATTAGTTTTTTACTTATTTTAGTTATAGTTTTAGCAAAAAATGCATGTTGTGTAGAAAGCATGAGCAAGAGGTTAATACTGAGCCACAAAGATCTAATAGAGCAAGACCAAGAATCATTGTCAAAACTTCTCTCAATGGTTTGAAGCTCGTGTTTTGCAAGATGATGTGCTTGATTTACTAAAACAATTGTCTAGAGGATCAAATATATGTTGCAAAAATATGTTCTCGATATCTAATCAATGGATATAGATTTCATGTTAGGCCGCGTGATGCAAGGCGTAAAACACAAAATAGTGGTGTTACAGTAGTTGCCTCAACTACAAGCTTTGCAAGTTCAAAGGATAAAAATTCGATTGCCGCAGATTTGACTTATTATGTCAGAATAGTTGATATTGTTGAATTAGAATATAAAGGTCATTTTAAGGTTGTTCTATTTAAGTGCGATCGTTATGAGGTTGAAAATGATGCTTATGGCCTTACTTATGTCTATTTTGACAAGAGATGCTCTCAGTAAGAGCCTTTTGTGCTTGCATCTCAAGTACACCAATGTTTTTATGTGCAAGATCCATATGATCAAGATAAACATTATGTTATGAAGACTGTTCCGCGAGATTTATTTAACATGGGTGAGGAAGTTGAATCTAATCTCCCACAAAGTTATGACAACGAGCCATCTGAATATTTGATGGGACCATCTATACCAAAAGATAATGGTGAAGTGCTGTTAACAAGGACTGATGTGCCAGAAACTGTTATTGATGTGCCTTCAAAAGAATTTGTTAATCAACAACTTGAAGTTGAGTTTGAAGAGGAGTTTGAAGATGACGCACCATGAGTTTCATTATTTTTGTGATGACCATATAGTGGAGGCTTACTGTTTTATAATTTAATTATTTTTTTTGCTACAAACAGTTTAAGATATCTAATATTTGGAATTGAATATTAGATGGCTTCAAGGTTTAAGTATTCTGTGTTTTGTAATTAAATTATTTTTTTTGGCTACAAACAGTTTAAGATATCTAATATTTGGAATTGAAGATTAGATCGCTTCGATGTTTAAGCATTTTGTGTTTTGTAATTTAATTGTTTTTTTTGCTACAAATAGTTTAAGATATCTAATATTTGCAATTGAAGATTAGATCGCTTCAATGTTTATGTATTATGTTGCCTTTCTTTGTACACCTACTTGATGTTTGGTCAAGTAATTTCTGTTGGCTTCTTGTCTGATTATTAATTTACTAAGGAACTTGTACGCGCAGCTGAATATTTTTTATTGGCTGTTTGTTATTTATATTCTTATTTGTTTTTTTTTATTTCCAGGCAGTGGGCATTAGAGGCAGATCACTGAACTCTACAATTTGAAGTCGCTCCTTTTTTTGTCTCTGTCCCAAGTTCCTCGCTCCGAGGGAGATACATCTCTTTACCTATTAATTTTCCTTATTTGAATAGTTTGTTTTAGATTATAATTGATTCTCTACTCGACAATGAACTCGTAATAATCGTACAGAGAAATTGCTGGAATATGTGGTAGTATGCGTTTATAAACATGGAAATTCTAGGCTAAATGCATGGCACTTTTCGATTGCTAGTTATAGTTTACTGATTCTTAGTGAGCTAGAGAATTATTGAAGAGTGCTTATAATTGTTCTTGCATATAATGATGCATGTTTGACAGTTAGTTCAAGTGTATGTTCAAAGCAAATTAAGCCAGTTGATTGATATTTTTTTTTCATTTAGTTGTTTTAGGTGTGCTTTTTAATCTATACTATCACATTGCACCTTTTGATAGATGAGGGAAGTGTGAAAAGCTATGGATGTCATGCAGGTATATGGGTTGAATACCATCTATCCAACTGAATGTATTTTCTGATTTTATATTTCAAGAAATATTTGGTTTTTGACCTTATTATATACATGAATACTTAAGATTTCTCAAACAAATAACTTTTCTACCGTAGGAGTTAGTCCTATTTTGACACAGTTTGTTAATAATGGTATTACTTGTATGAACATTGTAGGTTTTGATTCCACCGTTTTGGATAATATGGTGCGAAACACTATATTACATATTGTAGCCTGTCATTGCTTCATTATCCAAAAATTAGTGAAACATGAAGTCTGAGCTACTGCATTTCTTGGGTTTTAGTGGTCTTGATTTGAGATTACAGTTTGCTTTGTGATGTCGGTAGTTCATTGGAAAAGACATTTTCTGTTTCCTTAATTTGAGAGATCTATGCGATGGAAAAGTTTTCTTGAAAAAAGAAACACATAGGGGTTTCAGAGTATTTAATTAAAAAAACAATTGAGTTCTTTATTTCATCAAAACTCTATTTTCTGATGTAAAGACCTGTTTAGTCGTTTTGAGCAGCAGATTTTATTCTGGAAAAACTGTCTTGGTCGACGGATCCCACGACGGACCGTCATGGGCACGACGGACCGTCGAGGGGGTCTCGTTCCAAGACACTTAGTTTCTGAAATTTGGGTACTGAAATCGACTCTCTGAACTTCGTGACGACATGGCAGGACGGACCGTCGTGGGCACGACGGACCGTCACAGACTCTTCAAGGAATTGAGTCTCTGAACTCTGTGACGGAAGCAGCAGGACGGACCGTCGCAGGCACGACGGACCGTCACAGGCTGCGTAATCCCAGGCTGGGTCGAATTTCCTTAAATGTTTTAAGGGACGTTTTGGACTATTCCTGCTATAATTATAAATTTAGTGGGGCTAATGTTAATAATTTAACTACTTGAGGGTTAAAGGAGATAACCTTGAATAAATTAATGGGTTAATTCATCATCTTTTATACTTAATTATATGCTAATTAGGGTAAAAGAAAGAGGGTTTGAATAAGAAAAATAGAACTAGGGGATCGGGTGTCACGAACCGACACGTAGAATTAGGGGATCGGGTGTCACGAACCGACACGTAAAATTAGGGGATCGGGTGTCACGAACCGACATGTAGAATTAGGGAATCGGGTGTCATGAACCGACACGTAAAATTAGGGGATCGGGTGTCATGAATCGATATATAGAATTAGGGGATCTGAGTGTCACGTTCCGGCACATAGGAGTAGGGGAGCGGAGTGTCACGTACCGACACAAGAGGAAT